TTTTTTTTTCTTTTGCAGAAGGGAGAAGTAAAAGGGAAGGAAGAGGAGTTAAAAAAAAAAAATAGCGGTTATGGTTTATCTTAATTTTGTGTGTGTGTTTTGAAATCCAAAAGAAGTCAAGAACGCACCTTTTGCGTTTTAATCTTTATCTCAAAGATGATGAGAAAAGAAAGGGTAAAAGAGGTTCGGGTATTGACTTCTGCTGGAAAAATCACGGTTTGGTTGTTTATTAAGAGCGTTATTTGACAATTTTTGAATACTTTTTGGGTTGTGTCCTCTTTTTTGCATCTTTCTCCCAACCAAGTGTAATGTTTCTTTGTTGTGTTTTAAGCCCCATTGTTTGTGGCACTTGACATATGGATGAAAATGAAATCTTTGTTATTTTAAAACTCTAGCTCTTAACCCATTTCCACCGACGGACCAATCTTCTAACCACGCTTTACCTGATCCCTAGTTCTGTGGCCAATACACAAATTTCACTCCAACCAAAAAGGTCAAAGCCCTAACCACGGAACTAGCCAACCTATCAAAACGTAACTAAAAATGACCTCTAAATCCTCCTACTTCCATATTTTAAACATAAATGTAACGACAAATTACAGTTTGATCAAGTAAAAAGACTGGGAAGTTGTATATAAGCTTCGAGTATCTTTCAGCTTACTTCGACATAAATCCTGTTCTCTTTGATGTAGATATGAAATTTACAAGTATCTTAAAAATTCAAACTCAAAAGGGTTGGATAGAAGGAAAGTAAAACTTGTTTCATTATAGACAAAGTCATGAGAATAATAACCTTAAACATAGTTATGTTTAGTTAACACAGCCTAACATAAAAACGGTAAAATTCAAACAGGGAAAACTCTAAAGGAAAAACCTGAAACATGTTCTCTTAGCATTAGAAATCTGTTCATACTCGAACATCGGTCTTCCCGGGTTTTCCCTGCAAGATCTCAAGATGAAAAAGAAAAGACAATCCGGAGCAAGAAAGAAACAGACACATTGTGATCCATATACATTGGGAACTAATGTTGCGGAAATCTGATTATACTACAAGCACCCAAGGTTATAGGTGTAGCAGCGAATGCAGGACAGTTACACGATATCCACGGCCTAAGGCACAACAGGAATTGAGAGGCATAAAAACGGTAAGAGATGTGGGTGTAACCTCTTCTTTTTCTTTTTCTTTCAATGGTACAGTTTTTGGAGAAAGAAGGCTCTCTCCATCAGTGGTAATGTGTGACTAAAGTGCAAATAGATGATAGAAGAAATAAGAATGTAACTTAAATGTAGTCAAGAAAAAGACCTAAAAGTCGGTCTAAGGGATCTAACTCCGCATCTTTTTTCTTTGACTACCTTCTTCCAAATCACCCTGAAAAAGCCATAATCATAAAATCACGAGACTGGATGATATCTATTACAGCTAAAACTATGATGGGTTCAACTGCACCTTGATTAATGACCAGACATGTATGCAAATGAAGCTAATGAGAATGCACGGAAATGGCTTACCCCATTGGAGTCTGGCCTGCACTTTGCATGCACTATTGGACCTAATTGAGACTTGTCCACATCTGCAAATGATCCGTCAGGAGAATTCATGTACACAGCACCTTTGTACATCCATTCCTCGGTTTCATCACTATAAAAGTCTTCAAATGGTTCACCACATAAAGCACATGAAGTTTGGTCTTCATCTGCAGGAACTGCCATCTCTTCCTCATCCTTCTTTTCGTTTGTTGGCTCTGCGGGTAAGAACCCCGGTACTGCTTCAACTCCAAGTGCCTCTGCCCCACTAAGCCACATGCTAGCACTTACAAACCATTTCCGAGAAGGCTTCTGCTTATGGTTCTTGGACATCCTGTTCTTGGTTACATGCCAATCCATGTGCTTACTGTGCTCTTTTTGGGACTCGAAGCGTAGACCACATGTTGTACATTGCCTCGGGAGATCCCCATATAGAGCACTGATTGCAGACTCATTACGTATCTTGAGCATGTCCGCATCAAACTCCGTCCCTAATGGTCCCTGAATATATAAACCAACTATTCAAGACAAAGCAAGAAGATATAGACTCGCATGCATTAGGAGAGGTGACATGATTTTAAATAATTACCTGACCAGTAGGCTGATTGTTCAACGAGATCAAACCTTGAGCCATGAGAGAGCCAATCAGACCAGAGAATGCGCCGCCCGGTGGTTGATTAGAGACTGCCAACGAAGGATTCTGAGAGATGGATCCTATTTGAGATAAAACCCCTGAAGAAAGAGGATGCATGGCTTCCCCACCATGGATTGATAAAGATGGTCTAATGGTTGACCCTTGTGGAGGGTACCCATGACTTGCGTGCGGCAACACTGATTGCATAGGCCTTGGAACCATTGCAGATGAAGAAGGCATATAATTAAGTAGCATTTGATTCTGTTGAGTCATATCATTAAGATGACTCCCCGAGACCTGGTTATCGGGCCTATATAAAGGCTTACCATGCAAGCGATTTGATATCCCATTACCAGGATTTGCTAAATGATGCAAGTGAGCAGAAGGTACAGGGATAGAGTTGGATCCTCTAGCACTCAAATGGGGCCATGTCCCATCAGGAAGAGCATCGGCACCAGATGACCCAACTCTTGATATCATATGAGGGCCCCGACCAAAACGTAAGTTACCATCTTGAAAACTATCATATGGAGGAGCCCCAAATTCACTGTTTGATGACACTAATCCTACAGATGCTATGGTATTACCACGGTTGGATGAATGAGGGAAATTTTGTGACAAATTCCAATTTTCTCGTAGCTGATGACTTACACCGTTCTTAATGTCAGAATCTAAATGAAAATCACTTGTGTTTCCTACTCTGGGTCTTGCCCTTACACTTCCTAACACTGGGGCAGATGATCGCAAAAATTCACCAGCCCTGCTACGATCTAGGGTAGGGCTCATATCTTCCCAATTAAACTCTTCTTCCTCAGTGTTCTGCCATTGTGTAACCATCTTACCATGGATGCCATTCATATCACGAATTGGTTTATTGATGGTTACGTGTTTGCTGGTGTCAACTCCATATGCGTCTATTAAAGCTCTGGGTCTTTCGTGATCATTTCCTTGGCCTAAGTTGTCCTTTCTTCGCCATTCCATTTGTTCATCATCTCTGACAGTAGTTCGACTCATTCCATAGTTGTAGGTTTGATTAGAAGGATTAGCTCCATCACTAAACCTCCTAGGAAACCCATCTGCTGCAGAGTCATTAGGGCCAAAAGATAAAGGGCTATCTAAGTCAATATTAAGTCTTACAGGTCTGGAGAGTGAAGGAGTGAAGATTGTTACCTCCAATTGCAGGAGACGAGAGGGCCAAAGTTCCAGCTGCACTAGACCTTGGTCCAGCCAGGGAAGATGGGCTCTCTAACTGATCTTCAAAATCATCATATCCACCGACTGAATTTTGGCCGTACACTCTTGCATTGGAATTTAATCCTCTCAAATTCTGTATACCAAGCAAGCGCAGTTAAGGAAAAATGCATGTTACGCGTAATTCACTCTTTGAAAAACCACATACAAAAACAAGTTCGGAATGACAATGATGACTGATGTATAAACTGAAATCTATTATGTCTAACTAAACGAAGCATTCTACACAAGTAAACAGGCTCATTTGTTAGAATGTACCAGAGTACCAGTGACCAACTCCAGATTGAGTACTTGAAGAAAGTAATCTAATTCTCCAACTATGGATATCACGCAAAAATCATTACTGAGGTAAGAAAGCCGCTATGAGGCTAGACTAATCTAATACCGAGTTTCCTGAATATAGTAATAGGAACATCAACACATCGTAGCTTCAAGTAGCAGATGCATCCATAGAAGAATGTCATCTGTGTTCATCATGACAAAGAGAAAGGCTTACACTTTCGGCAGCTGAGGGCTCCAGCCTACGAAGATATTTTGGATTAACATGTATACCCCTTGTTGGTTGACTAGGCTCAGATGCCCCTAAGGAAGACTGGTTGTTTGTTGCTGACGAAAGTTTCAACTGCATCTCAATCTTGCGTAATACAGGTGGTGGAAAAACACTCGACCAAGTCCCAAAAAGGTGACGCATTGAAGGATGTAAACTCGGATGCGCTTGCCTATACGCTAGGCAGAAAACCTAAAGCAGCAGACAAGTGAAGACATCTAATGAGCATACTTCAGCTCTATACAAATCAATTAAGTAAGCATCTCCTTACAGACTCCTCACCTCTGGTAGACGGGAAGAGAAATAACGAACATAATCCCGCCCAATATTCTTGACGATGCTGTCTAAAAGATATAAAGAAGGCAACTTTTGCTCAACTGGAGCCTGCATATACATGAAAATTGTATCATTAAAACTCTCTATTACATCAATCCTCACCAAAAAAGTAACTCAGAAGCAGCCCTAGTTCACTTAACCACATAACTTTGCAGTGATAAGAGGATGCAAATGCAAATAAGGCTTCAATGGTAGTAGACAGAATTTTGAAGAAACAAAAACAGACCTCGAGGATTCGCGTGCAGATAGAATTAGCGATTCCTGCACCATGTTCCCGCTGCTCACCGGCGATGATAGTGAGATCAGTGATAATAGGCTTGGAATTGAAAGTAAGCTCGCCCAAAACAACCTCATAAAGCTGAACAATCTCTTCAGAACTCGGAGGCAAAACCTCGTCGCCACCGAACTCATCTTCACGCTGAATAAGCAAAGCCTTAAACCGGTCTAATAA